TCTATGAATGGGACCAACTTCAGGACTCATAGAATCTTGTCCCATTGTTAAAAATATTAGTTTGACATCTTCTAAAATACTCACATGAGATCTATTCTTTTGAAGTAATTGACTTAGATCCTTGTTGTTGTTATTGTGTGCAGTCAAGTTAGAACCAACCCAATAGCTACCATTGCCCATCTTTCTCCCACAGAGAAGCTGGTGGATTTGAACCTTTGAGATTTGCAGCATAGCTGAAATAGGACAATCTCTTAATATGCAATTTACTATCTCTGAAGACCCACTGGAGTAAATTGGTTCTGACTCAACAGCACACAAAAAGCATTTGTGTGTGTGTGTGTGTGTGTGTGTGTGTTGTTACTATGTGCTGACAAGTCGACTGTGACTCACAATGACATTATGAACACTAAATCTTAACCTTGCCTTGTTCTGTGCCATCCTCACCATGGAAGACACACTTGAGCCTATTGTCAGTACTGTTTCAATCTATCTTGTTGTGGGTCTTCCTCCCTTATGCTGACCATCCATCTTTTCAAGCCTGATTGATGTGCTCTTCTAAGAACTGGCCCCTCCTCCAACCACATGCTCAAAGTATTTGGATTAACCCTGCCTCCAAGGAGTACTCTGGTTTCACTTTCTACAGGAACTTTTGGCAGTTCATGGGATATTACATACTCTTCTTCAACACCATAACTCAAAGGTATGAATTCTTTCTGTTATGCTTAGTCATTTTTCAACATTGTTCAACCTGTTATCTTTAGTTTTACATATATAATATTTCTCTCTATATAATTTCTTTCTCTCTCTCTCTCTCTGTCTCTCTCTCTCATGCTGTCATGTCAGAACCCAATTCAGAGCTGACCTCCAGCAGGTTTTAAGAGACAAGTAATCACATGGGAGGAGATTGCCTATTTTTCTCCCATGGAGGAGCTAAGGGATTCAAACTGTCTGTCTTTGGGTTGGCAGTGCAATTCTTTACCACTAAGCCACAGAGCTGCCATACATGTTTAGGATCGTACATGTGAAAGAAAGATGAACAATCTCCTCAGGGGTGATTACTTGGTACACAACATGTCACCCAATGAATTCTGGGAATCTGACTGATTATTTAAAAAATTCATGTTGAATATTTCAGATATAAAACTTAATTTTTTTCTTACTAAGTTTTAAAATGGAACCATAAGATTTGTTTTATTTTCTGCTTTCCACTGTCTTCATAAACTTGTTAAATAAAGGTAAGGATTAGAATTCTTATTCCCTAAATTAAGTACCTGAATGGACCCCCTTTTCCACACATCAACTGACTGCTCTTCTAGACTTCATGGAGTTACAGGGCTGTAAAGAGCTGATCTAGTTAAAATAAGTGAGTTTTCCTTTCATTGAGCATCCTTAATTTGTGAAATGTATAGTACTTGCTGGAGAGAAGGAGTGCCCCACTGTGAAAGGACTGTCAATTTTAAAGTCAGATCTGAGTTTAAATATATCTTTACCTTGAGTGGGTGATGTCATCAATTTAAACCCAAGTCTCTTAATCTTTAAAACAGCAATTGTCATTGAAGGAAGAAATCTAAGAATGTGCCTAACTCACAAGACACACAGCAGGGGATTGAATAGGTACTTGACAAATTGCACTGTGTAGGTTTAAATCTTCTCAACAAAAAGATGGCCAGTCTCCTCCTGTTAGGATTTACAACCTTGGAAACCTAGGGAGGGTTGATATGTGTTAGATTTAACTTGATGACAGTGAGGCCCCCCTAGTTTGTGCTTGTAAAAATCATACTGGAAAAAAATTCTCAACTAAGTTTCAGTGAAACATGCAGCCCCAGATTGCGAATGTATTCTTTCTACCCTTTTACATTGTTCACATGGATTTAAAACAGCTCCTCCGGGATAAAGATATTTACATGTTTAAGTTGAGAAGAGCTTTCTTTACTGAAATACTGTTAATTTAGCTAATGGGATGGTGAAATAGCACTGGAATTTTTAGATTAACCCTAGGTTCTAGTCCAAGTCCAGTTCCCTAAGAGCAATGTGGCCTTGGATAAAGCATCAACCTCTTCCTTTTCTCATTAGATAAAGGAAGCCAATGATACACTTGCCTCTATCTTAAGAGTTGATTTAAGAGAACTCTGGTGATACTGCCAAAAGACAGGTGGTTAAGTGCCAGAGAAAAATGGACAATCTCTTTTGTGATTTACAATCTCTTAAAACCAGGTGACAGGTCAGCTACTGGTTGGTTTCAACTTGATGGCACACTATCACAACTACAAGCAAACCGAAAGTCCTGCCATGGGGAGGTGTCTCATGGAAAGGCAGCTCTAGGTTTTTGCACCTAGATAGAAGTAAGCCTTTCATCTTCCATAGTGATGTCACTACACTGACACATTATTAGCAGTTTTTGAGACGCTATTTAGGCTTCCTTTGAACTTAAGTTTCTCTTGCTAAATCTCTGGGAAATAGACGGATTAGCAATGCTCTAAAACATCTAAAATTGACAACAGTTCCTACCACACTTGTCTGTAGGTGCTTTGACAGCTGTGCTGTTTTAGCATGAAGGATCTATACACAAGTGTGAAGAAATACTGAAGTGGTGAATTCTTGTTTATGACTTCCTTTTCCCAACACAGATCCAACAACTTCCACGACTGTGAAGAAAAAGGCAAAAAATAGCAAAAGGAAAACAGTACATTTATTAAGAGGCATGAAAAAATGCATAAACTCATTTATAAATAAATGTAAAATAATTTACTCATTGAAAAAATAGTGAAAATTTATGAATAAACTGGATTTTACATTTAAAATGCTTTCATACTTTGTCTAGTTGTCTAGTGCTACTACAACAGAAATGCTACAAGTGAATGGCTTTAACAAATAGAAATTTATTCTCTTACAGCTGAGGAGGCTAGAAGTTCAAACTCAGAGTCTCAGCTCTAAGTAAGGTCCTGGCTCTCTCCATTGGCTCTAGAGAAAGATCTTTGTCTCTTCAGCCTCTGTTTCCTGCTTCCTGGGAGAGCTTTGTGTGTCTGTGTATCTATTTTACCTCATCTCTGCTTGCTAAATTGCTTGCTATTTTTTTTAAAATAAGAAAAAAAAATGCTGCTTTTTAACCTATATCGATTTTTGCTAGCTTGTTATTAATCTTTTTTATATGTCAAAAGAGACTGACTCAAAATTTATCCTGTACTAATCTTTTCTCATTAGCTAAACAAAGACAATCCATTCTCAAATGGGATTATAGGCATAGAGGCTAGAATATACAGCACAGATTTGGGGGAACATATTTAATCCATTTACAACCTCCAAATAATCTCCCCCGTCCATCTTGACGTATTAGTAGCAGCAGTTTTTTACAGGGACTATAGAAAAAAACTCCAAAAAAGCACACTGTTCAGCAATGTTAGCAATGATCAACATATGGAGGGTTTTCCAGGCATATTCTTTAAACAGGAATTAGTGCAAACAAATTCAGATTGCAAGGGATAAGATAAGACACACGGCTTATTTTGAGAATAGAAAGAAAAATTCCAAATATTTACTCATTAAGAAATGAAAAAGAAAATGACTTTCTGATCAGTGAAAAATACTACATAGGGATATCGTGAAACATTCCTAGCCAGTGATTATAATAATTACATTTATAAATGTTCATTCAAGTACTAATTCTTAATAAACATTCACACTTTCTATTAAAAATAGCACTAGGTGTGAACACATCTAAACAGTGCTTCTGTTGATTAAGGAAAAAAAAATCATGTCAACTGGAGTCAAGTGACTCTTTAAAATACTGATTTTTTTTTTCCTTGCTAAATGATTTTTCAGTGTGCTTTTTTTTCTTTCATGGACCCAGCAAGCATCTCATCATAACTAATTAAGAAGTCCTTTTTACAAAATACTTTTCAATATCACAGAAAACATTCTAAAGTACAAGCTTAGCTTAAAACAGAACAGAACAGAACCCATTTTCTTTGGCAAGAAGTAGTTAGTTCCTTACCAAATATTGGCTTCATGACATGCAGATGCTATCAGAATACCTCTCCAGTGAACACCAAAGAAGTATTTAATAAACCCAAAACATTTTATGAATTGTGTTTCATAGTAATGTAGGGTTTATGTCAAAGTTGCAGTAAAATCAACATTATTTACTTGGTCCCTGCAGCAGATGAGTCTTCCTTCAAAGAGTTCTCTCCTAATTTTGGCCTGAATTTCTGGTTTTAACAAAAGTTCCTTTATTTCTTTTATTTTGGATTTTCGAAACATCCTTTCTCGATGCAATGCTTCATTAATTAAGTGTTGGTATCCAATAGGTTTCTGGCCTAAAGAAAGAAATTACATAATACATTTTATGTACAAATGTCAAAGAAAAACATTCAGATGAGACACACAGACTTACTACAAGAGGGCTAGAAAAATCTTTAAAATGGTGTCCACATTTTATAGAAAAGGTTACATTTCAAAAAAATAGATCATTTACAGTAAACATAATTTACAGTAAATAAAGTAACTGCGGAGCAACAGCATACTGAGGACAAACAGAAAACGTATTGACTGAGATTCAATGGATGATGATTTCAACAGTGGTTATTTTCAAGTTAGCACTTGTTAGCTTTGTGTTTTGGCCTCTGACAGGGTCGTAGAAATGCCCTGCTAGGCCAAAGAAATTGTAATATTTCATTTATGGCAAGGCCTATTCTCGGCCTTAAATTTGAATCCACAAGGCTTAACCTAAAATTCTCTTCCCCTGTGCACAGCAAGAGCTTCCTGTGGGCTGAGGATGTGGAGAATTTCAGCCATTCTTCTATAATTCCATTTCCTCTGCTAGTCCCAGTCCTCTTTTCTTCGGTTGTGTTTCAGAAGGGCGAAAGCATCTATCATGGAAGTATAAGGCAGTCTCCTTAGATTCCACACGAGACACTTCAGTGGCACAACGCAGGCCAGTCCCATGACTTCGCAGAGGGGAGCAGGGACGCTTAGACAGGCAAGGCCTGGCCAGAGCTCAGGCCTCATTTCCTGTTGTTGTCACTGTCACTGACATTCCTTTCCGTTTCTTCGGGCTTCACAAGGCTCCCATCCCCCGGCTTGCTTTTGTTCTGTGTTTCTTCCAGATACTGTTGGACAGCCTTGAGCACTGCGTTCTCCACCAGCCTCTTACTGAGCCTTACCAGTTCGGCATCATCGGGCTCACCACCGCTCTTTCCACCTACATTCCACAACAGAGAAGAGAGGTCACTGACAGCAAAGCGCCCGGGACACTCAGCATGCAGGGCCCAGCTAGATCAGCTAAAAAGGGCAAATGCCATGTAATCCTGTAAACTGCTTCTCTAAATCTGAGCTGGCTTTTCATTTGATATTTGAAGAAGGAGGAGCCTCTCTATTCCTTGAGACTATATAGGGTGGAAAGTGGTCCATTGGCTCCAGTCTAAAACTACTCTTCCAAACAGTGCTGAAAGTTTCCATCTGTAAATGAAATTTCCGTCCTCTCACTGCCAAAGCTAATCACTACTGTTGAAGGCCATACGCCCACCACCTGAAGCCTCAGACACGTGAATTCACCAGCAAAGCCTGTTTCTATTTCTACATCACTATCAGACGCCAGGTCAACATCCCCCAATATTCTAATCACTGACGGTTCATTTATTTAAAAAATTATTCTCCTATAGTTTGGGTGTTAATAAACTGTCAGCACTCTTGTGAAAACAAAGGTAATAACTACCACTAGGAAATTATTTAAAATACAATTTGTGAGAGTAGCATTCTTCTACATCTCAGTGCTATCAATGTAATCTAAGAAAAAGGAAAATTTTCAAGAACGAGTTAGGAAACAGGATAGTAAATGTGAATACCAGATGTGAATGTTTTATAAAAATGTTACTTCTCTGCCAGGGATGAGTAAGGTTTAATTATTCTATCTTTCATTTTACTGTAAAGGAGCTGGTTCTCATTCAATGTATTCCCCAGCCACACTCTTCCTCGTCTCCTGTAACGGGAGAAAAGAACAAAGGGGCTCCCATGTCCTCTTAGTTCCCCGTGTGAAACATTCTCTTCCACTGAACTACAGACCCAACAGGCAAAGAAGTAACGGAAGGACTTAGATGTTAAGACTAACTCAGCTTTGGACTATCACCCAGAGATTCCAGAAAGTAACTGCTCAGTGTTGCCCTTGTAGCTTTGTCTGGGACAGGTGGATACAATAGGTTGTGACTTAGTCATAGATAAGGCATTATCTTCTAGCCTCCATGTAACGGAGCCTGAAGTAGAAAAGCATATACAACAAGGATGGAAGCAGGCCTTTTAATTCTCTCAAGTGCTGTCATTTATGTAACACATGCCCAGATCAAATCCTGCTTATAATTATCCCCATCATTCCCAGTCACTTCCTTTTGAGGGTCAATAAAGAGAGATGATTAAAGGGTAATCCTAAAATGAGAAAGTTTAAGCAACTATTTCTCCCCTTCAAAAGTATCAATATTCTATCCCAGGCCCTAGATCAAAAGCCCTTGATAAAGCATTTGCAATGCAAAATATGCAAGAATTCCCTAAGCTCAGTGACATCTATGTAGAACTTACAATGCATAGTAGACTCAAACATATCAACAATAATGGATATTTAAGGTTATACATACATGAGTCAGAGCTGACTCAATGGTAACTAATCCTATCACCACTACTACCACATAAAGATGTCATGACTCTATTATCATGACAATATCAAGAAACCCATCAGTAATATCACATATGGGGACAAGCTATGACTGTTTCCATTAGTAAATATGAAAGAGAATACTGTCTCAATCTTGGAATACTATAATTACATTTTTTAGATGATTTTTCCAAAAGCAATATCTGGAACTATTTGTATAATGGCTCTTGAAATTGAAAAGGGAAAAAATATCAAAGTATAAATGAGTAATACTTTTATAAGTACCCTTCAAAACACTGATGATGCCTCTCTACATCTGCTACTCTACTCATGCTCAGTTTAAGCTGGTCATTACTTTCTTTGGAGCGATTAGGGGCAGAGCTCTGATAGCGTAGTGGTTAAGTCTGAATCTTCTAGTCAGTTTCCTCACAGGTAAGATAAAACTTCATTGTTATCTAATTGGAACTGGCTCATAGTCAAGCCTCCAGCAGGGTTTCAGAGGCTGTACACTACATGGAAGGGGAATACCCATTTTTCTCCTGTGGAGCAACTGAGAAACTTCAACTGCTTGCCTTTGGGTTCAGAGTGTAATTTCTTACCCACCAGGCCACCAGAGCTCCCTCAGGTAAGACAGATATACCTGAGCAGGGTATATCTGAGTCAAGACAAAGCTTAGTTTCCAAGGAACTTCTCAGATCTAATATTCTGTGCATCTGGAATCACTGAGAGCCTACAATGAAGTTTCCCTGTTACCTCGAACATTAGCATCACTCATTGTCACAGCGTCTGAACCAACTCAGAGCTGACCCCCAGTGGGTTTTCAGAAGGCTGTAAAGCACAAAGGAAGAGACTGCTCATCTTTCTCCCTCTCCAAACATGGAGAGATTAAGAGAAACATCTTCCTACAGAAAGACACAGTTTTTACTTCTGGCTTTCATATTTCTGTTTATGCTTTTATTATTATCCAAGTCAATAAAGCTCAGAATAAGATTGTTACCATCCATCTTAGACACCTTCCTTAAAGCACCTAATAATAACGACAGCTTGTCAGTGTGCCTTTTACAATTTCTCCTTTCTTCAGTGCATCTAATACAACATCTCCCATTTGAAAGTTCTGAAATACTGCTTTGACTTTCCAAAGATGATATTGGAAAACTTGAGCTTGTATTCCAAGGTATTCTACAATTTATCTTTCTACTCTGTTCATCTCCCACAAACCCAACTGCACCACTAGTTTACAACATTTTAGAAACTTCCATACCATTTCCTATCTTGAGACTGACTTTATTCTGCTGTGCCCAACCAAGCCATTAAATTTTCCCAGAATAATCCAATTGGAAGTGATGATCTTGTATTAATTGTATATGCTATTCATTTGAAAAATGTGTACCGAAAGTCTACCATAAGCTAGAACTCTTCTAATCAATGGGATCTAACAGCAGACAAAACAAAGTCCCATAACCTTCCAAAGATTAAGTCCGTGTGCGCATCAGAAAAGTTTTTCTAACAGGGTGAAAAGAAAACTTACAGACAGAGAAAGAATATTTGGCAATATCACCTAAGACAAGGGTCTCATAACAAAAGTTTACAGAATTCTACAGGGCCTCCAGAGAAAAGACTGATGCATGATTACAAAATAGACAAAAGATATGGAAAGACTTTTCACACAGGAAAACATTCACATGACCAACAGACACACAAGAAATGCTCCAAATCACTGGCAGTAAGAGAGATGCAATTCAAAACCACAATGAAATACCGTCTCACTTCAGTAGCAGTGTCAAAATTTAACAAGTCAGCAAGCAATAAATGTTGGCGAGGATGTGGAGAGATAGGAACTATTATACATTGTTGGTGGGGTTGTAAAATGGTACAACCACTCTGGAAGGCAGTTTAGTGTTTCCTCAGAAATCTGAACATAGAGATTCCATATGACCCAGCTATTCCACTGCTAGGAATATAGCCCAAGGAAATTAGAACTGAAACACAAACAGAGATTTGTACACAAATGCCCATAATAGCATTATTAGCCATCACAAGAACATGGAAACAACCCAAATGTCCAATCATAATCGAATGAACTGAAAAATTGTGGTTCATTCACATGATGGAATACTGTGCATCACTCAGGAACAACTTCAAAAATTACTATTTAACTTGGGAAGTACTGGAGTGCATTATGCTGAGTTAACGAACTCAGCTTCACAAGGACAAATACTGCATAAGATCATTACTGTAGAAATAGAAAGATAACTAGTAAAATGTGGATGAGGATCCAAGGGGGGGTGTTGAGAACAGATGGCTCAGGATGGCCAGGGGGCAAATCAGAGTGTGGCACAATTTGGTGCATGGAGAGGGGGATGTAAAGGAAATAGGAAAGATCCAGCAGGAATCTGGAAAGAAAGATACGGTAGTAGTGATTAATTTTATAAACATAATAAATGGGAATGATTATATGAAACACAAGGTGAATGAAGAATACTGTGAAACATAATGTATACAAACTATGTAAGCAAGCCAATGTTGTTGCTGTTGTTAAGTGCCGTCGAGTCGCAGGCAACTCATAGCGACCCTATGAAGGAAAGTCCTCAATGCTTGGGTGCCTTTCATCCTCTCTCCAGGTTCATAGGGTTCCCAGATGCAAGCTATTATGGAAGTGGATGCCACTCCTCCTTCCACGCTTGTTTTAATTGGGGAGCTCCACCCCACTCTCTGTCCGCAGTGGGTAGCCAACCATTAACACATTTGACATATCAGTGTCACAGTGTTCAGCCTCACAGCAACCATAAGTGACCGCAGTATGACAACTTGTACACCAGGGCTATATGACCTAGAGGAATGTCTGAACAAAAACAATGAAAGACTGGCCTGCAGAGGAAACCCCAGAAAAAGCAAGTAAGACCAAAAATCAAAGTCCCGTTGCTTTATTTTCTTAACCTCCTGACAAGGAGTGTTAATTAGTTAATTATATATTAATTCAACAACAACTGATGTTGTGTGTGCTTTGCAGAAAACACACTCCTGAATACAGAAACCATGTCTAGGACTTCACATTTCTGTCTCATTTGCCAATGCAAGGCACAGTTTATTAAGTACAATAAGAACTCAATAAATTTGTTAGTCAAGTGAACCAGATACAAGAATTTCAGCTGATGGTATGTACAGAAATCAGCTCTATTACATCTGTGGAAAGAATCACTGAAGAAGCTCAATATCATCTGTGAAAACTAGGCCAGGTGCTGATTGTGAAACAGATCTCAAATACTCATATGCAAGTTCAGACTAAAGCTAAAGAGGATTAAATCAAATCCACAGGAACCAAAATTTGACCTTCAGTCTATCCTACCTGAATTTCAAAACCATCTCAGGAACAGGTTTGAGGCCTAGAACACTAACGAACAAAGACCAGATAAGCTGTGGGAGGATATCAAGAATATCTTCCAGGAAGAATACAAAAGGTCAATACAAAGACAGAGGAGGAAGAAAAGACCAAGATGGATGTGAAATGAGATTCTGGATATTGCAATAGAGGGCCGAGAAACCAAAATAAAGAGAAGAAA